CTCCGATGACGGGCAACCTGTGGGGAAGACCCCTCCCACCTAAAACAGGGGTTCAATGTCCCCCAAAGACGGGAAAGGGAGGGTGACCCTACTTGACCTAAGCCAGGAGTGCCTCATTTGAAAATAAAAAGGGGTGAATTGTGGGAACACCAGACCTTGAGCAGAGACCCACTTCCCCTTCTGCCTGGGAGTAGGCAGCTGTAAGACAATGTTTAGTAAAAACATGTTTACTAAAAACGATACAATAAGTTCCTGGCCACTCCCCCTTCTGCCTGGGAGTAGGCAGCTGTAAGACAATGTTTAGTAAAAACATCTTTACTAAAAATGATACAATAAGTTCCTGGGAAAGGCCTTCCCACAGAAACCGCCCTGACCTCGACCTTGTCCAAAGACTAACCGCACCTTCAAAAACCCACACACATCCACCTCTGGGTCAGAGCAGAACCAGCCAGGGTAGAGGAGAGAGCAGAAGCTTCTCTGGTGGGAGCTTTTCTTAGGAGGTTCTCCTGAACCTTTTTGGAGCCTGTTTAAAGTTTTCTTTATATCATTGAACGAGTCTCTGTGTTGTCAATACCCGACACCCTCCGCATGTTCTCGGACACAGGCCGTGCGGCAGACGTGACATTAATCCTTTACAGCAATTCTGTAATACATGTTTATGTATGTGTATGTATGTGTGTGTATAGAGAGAGATTTATTCATGTGTGTTGTATATTAAGTGATATGAGAGTTGATATCATTAATTAAGGTTAGAATAAAAACCCTTGTGTTTGCCTTGACCGGGGTTACCTTGTGAAGCAGAACTGCCTGACCAGTTTCATCCCTTAAAACTTGTATGTATTAAACCAAGTGGTGGTGGCAGGTACCTTCAATCCTGGACAGTGAATGCAAAGGAAGGTGGATCACTGAGTTCGAGGCCAGCCTGATCTACAGAGCAAGTTTCAGAACAGCCAGTATTACAAAGATAAACCCTGTCACTAAACAAAATCCAAAACATAAAACCAACCAAACAAAGGTAAACAAAACTACTGCTATTATCTGGTGAGTTTTTGGTTATTTCCATAAATTATGCCACTACATACAAGCATATATAGATTTGGCTATGTTTCTACATACTATGCATATAATAGAGGGGAGAAAGGAATAGGCACCTCAGTTTCAAGGAAGGACTGGGAACACATGGGGCAAAGCATGTGATCAAGCACACCCCCTCAGTTCCCGAGAAGTACCCTACAAAGATAAGGTAACTCAAAGGTCAGCCACACCATGTCTGGAGCATCCCCATAGCTGTTATAATGTAAATTAACCAGTATCATTTCATCTATGTTCTTTCACAGGGCGTGATTGCCTTTACTGTGTAAAGCCCATAATGTTTGCTCTGAGTCCCTGGCATTTGCTCAGGTCTCTTCCCTTCTCCCCAGACCTCTTTGTGCCTGGAAATCCTACCTTGCCATTGGCCACTCAACACTTTAGTAAGCCAATCAGAAGGTACTTTGACAAAAATATATCTTCATAGTGCACAAAAAGGTTATTCCACATTTCCTCCCTTTAGTATACATAACAAGGAATGATTTTTAAATCTAACACAATAAAACCATGAACAATAATAACAATTGTCAGTTAAGGATTGCATTTGCAATGTCCAGTTCATTTGTATTTGGCATAGGTGGAGAAAACACTCCATTATTTTTTTATCTTGACAGGGTCAAAGGTCTGTAAATATTTTGTATTTTATAACAGTGAAGGAAAACTAACTATAACTACCTAGTCTTCTACTCCATCAAAGACTCAAGGGGATAAAATATTGCTTGAGTATACATGAACTATAGAACAAGCAAGCTGGTTGGCTCAACAGTCAACCAAGATTCCTCTCTAATGTTGGGGAATCTGACTTCATCCTACAGGCTTAAAATACCTGACAGACTTTTCTGTGGAGCAGAATTTTTAAAGGATTGTCCTACCTTGTCTTGGAAAGTTTGGCAGTCTCATTTCTTTGTGTCCTGCTGATCCAGTTTGGAGAGCATAGTGTCAGCAGTCAAGGCAAAGACAGTTTCTTGTTCTAACGGCTAGCTTTTGCTATAAAAAGCCAAACTCAATGTGGAGGTTCTTCCACAGCCATCATCCATTTTTGAAGTAAATTAGTCCTCCCAGGAGCAGACATGTCTCATTGTCAAGAAAATCCTTGTGTTATTAAAAGATTTTAAATTCCATATTATGTAGGTCTTTGAAGCCATAGAAGATCACCTTTCTATCTGAAATAAATCTCTGTCTCACCTTGAAAACATACCTATCATGGCTATAGGTTTGATTGTTATAGATGACTAACTACTATCTTGCATTTCTTTATTATCCTACTTTGTAGTATTAACATTCAAGGACTAGAAATTTACATTTCATTGTTAAATGAGCTGCTTAGATACCATACTTGAAATAATAGAAGATATGTGTGTACAGTATATTCAAACATTAATAACCTTAAATTAGTATCAATATACAAAAATCCATACCAATATAAAGTATTTGAGATAAGTGGTTGTTTAAAAGTAGACTCAACAATCCACCCTTTTATTTCATCTTTTTTATAATATATCCTCCCTTTGTTCTTCATAAAGAGATCCTTGAATCTAGCTCATTTTTTAGCCTTTTCCTGACCATGACCAATAGCAAATTGTAACCAATCACACCCCAAACTATGACAAACATCAATAACCCATTGAAGGATCACAATCCATCCACCCCACCTCATGGGAATGTGGATGTCATATTTGTGATAATGATCAAATCCTGGAGGAGTTAGCTGCTATCTTGTCTCTGTGTGATGGGAAAATGTAGGACTTATTTGAAGAGTTGACTGGAGCAATCTGTGAGGCTGGATCATCTCTACCAGCATCCTGAAGCCATTCTGGATGCAGAACTCTGAGGAAACTGCAAAAGAGGCACTCTGAAAGGCTGAAAAACCTGGGCCATCCCTTTTCATGGGTGTTTGATCCCCTTGTTCTGAAAACACAAATTTGTAAATGTAACATACACATATATGAACACAAATATGGAATGTTCCATGGGCACAAATCAGTTAAGGATGATTTTTTGTTTTATGTTTTTTTTCCATAAGATAAGAAACAAGGTTTCTTCACAAGTCAGTTCCAGATCCCTCTCTCCCTCCCCTCCTCCCGTGCCCTTCCCCCAACCCCCCCCACTTATCCCCTCCATGGGGGTGTCCATAGTCTGTCATTTCATATAGGGCAGGGCCTAGACCCTTCCCCAAGAGTTCAGGGTGAGAGTGCACCTCACATTGTTCTATGGGAGTCCAAAGTCCGTGTGTATACTTGGGATGGGTACTGATCTGCTGCCCAAGGCTCAATAGATTACCTAGTCCTCCTCACTGACACTCACATTCAGGGGGTCTTGATCAGTCCCATGCTGGATTCCCAGGCTGATGCCTGGGATTCAAGAGTTAACCTTTGTCAGGTCAGCTGTTTCTGGGGGTTAAACCAGCCCAGTCTTAATCCCTTTGGTCATCAGTCCTCCCTCTCTGTTACTGGCTTTCTTGTTTGAGAAGCTAAAATATATGGCACCTGTCTTATATTTTTTGGGTTTTTTAGGTTTATTTCCTTTTATCTGAAGCCAGGACTTTCAGGAAACATGCCCTATCAAACCTGATCTTCTTCAGCCCTGAAAAAAAATCCATGGCAGTTCATTTTCTGTGGGGAAAAAACCATAACCACTTCTCCAAAGCACCCACCTTTAGACTTCCATTTTGGAGACAAGACACTTTTAAAGTATATAGGTTGGTTTAATCCACCAGGATCCATAATCCAATGTCTCTCAGCAGCTATCACTCCTTCATCAGCAATCAAAAAATTGAAAGTCAATACATTACCATACAGGATTCAGATTCCCTGTAAATTTTCCATCTCTGTGTGGCTTATTCTTTTTGTATTTACTTCTCTCTTTAAGGACTTTATTATTTTTAAACTTTTATTTTTCTATACCCATTTTTTAATCCCTACACACATTGTTAAATACACTGTAACCTATTTAGAGAGGTTTTCTTCATCTCAATCTGCTTTACTACATATCTCTAACTTTTCTGTTTGTATGAGCAAAAACTTCAACCTTCACCTAGGCAGCTACTGAGAGTACATGTCTCATTATGGTGGCTGGCATGAGACACTAAAGACTAAGAAGCCATGTTTGGCTGTTTTTTCTGTTTTGCTAAAGCTTTCTCAGTATGTGGTCCCATACTGGGCACCATTTGTAGTTAGATTTTTCTGTCCTGCCTACTCAGCTCCCAAATAGCTGGACACAGACTTCTTATTGATTGGGAAAACTTTACTGAGAACTTAGGCTTCTTTCTAACTAGCTCTTATATGTTAAATTAGACCATATATTTTCATCTATGTTCTTTTACTTGGCTCAATTCCCTTTACTTTGTAAAGAATATGCTGCTTGTTCTGAGTCCTGGCATCTCCTCAAGACTCGGCCCTTCTTCTCACCAGCATCCTCAGTGCATGGAAATCCTACCTAGCTATTGGCCATTCAGCTCTTTGTGAAAACAATCAGAAACTGCTTTGGCGAAGACACATCATCAAAGAGTATGAACAGATTATTCTACAGCATGCATCCTTACTCTCAACTGGGTCTTGATAGTTGCAAATCTTTGAGTATTCATCTCTTCTGGAAGAGACTTCATTGCCTACATCTGTAAGAAAGAGGTGCCGAGATTCTACACCTATTAAGGTATCATCTCATCTATAGACTAGAAATGACACAACCACCGTATATCACAGAGGCATGCCACACACTTACATAACTGGGTAACCAGGAAGCTCTAGATGGGCCAAAACCATTTGCAATATCCTTCTCTGCTGGAGTTCTCACTCTGTCATGCTGAAGGACACAGAAACAACTATTTCCTTGGCTCATAACTTATAAAAGCGACGAGCTGTGCTGAAAGGAGGAACACAGTGCAAATCTGTGTTCTTGACTTTTGACTGTTATCTTTTGCATCTAGCAAACAACAATTATTGAGAAGCAAATTGTGAAATAGAAAAAGGAGCCAGGCTATCTGCAGGTACTTTATGGAGAGCTACTGTTTCCATAGACTTCCCCATTGACTGTTTCAAATCACATCCAGGATTCTTGAAACTGGGAGGCTATAAATTGATTCCTGCATTCAGCCCAGCTGGAGCCAACATGAAGACAGCCACAGTCTTGGTTCTGGTGACTTTGATTGCCATAGGGAAGGACTCAGTGAGTGCTCTGAGATTTTCTCCAGGAAGTAAGTGTATCAAGGGGATAAAAGCTGGAAGCAGAGAAGATTCACAGTCCAGTAGGGCCTGGGGCTCAGATGCCACAGGGCAAACCACATGCTGAGTGCATAGATTTAACTTGCTTCTTTTTATCACTCTGCATTTCTTGTCTTTCTTAAGAGGGGGGAAGAGAGAGAGAGAGAGAGAGAGAGAGAGAGAGAGAGAGAGAGAGAGAGAGGGAGGGAGAGAGAGGGGGGAGAGAGAGAGAGGGAGGAAGGGAGGGAGGGAGGGAGGGAGGGAGGGAGGGAGGGAGGGAGGGAGGGAGGGAGAGAAAGGGAGGCAGACAGGCAGGCAGTAAGGCACACAGACAGATGTGCCACCGAAGCTGGGGGAGACATCCAGGCAGCTCATCAACTATGGAGATGCACCTTGAGGTGGGGGTCACTGGACTCATTGTTCAGAGATGTACATAGCAGCTCTAGTTCCTTTCAGACTTCACTTCCAGTCTGCACCATGTACAGCTAGCTGAAAGGGAAGGACACAACCCATTCTGCTGGCATAGAGACCTCCATTCTTACATGGAGGAAAGTCTGGGGAGTGGCTGACAGCTATGAGCATTCATGAGTGGTGTGGGTGGGTAGGCACGCTGTGGCAATGGGTGCCTCTGGCCCACTAAGTTTTCTGCTCTGTCAGTTCCTAACTTGAAGCCGGCAGGCTAGTTTGGCTCTACAAGAGGAACTCTCTGGAGTTGGGCTCCCTCACCTTAGCCTCATAGAGGGTTAATAACATCTTCTCAGATGTGTAGGAGGAGGGCTGGGATGATGGATGACTATTTCTCTGAGACCATACAGGCTGTGGAGAAGGAGAACACTCTCCCATGGCCAGGTAACACTCATGCCTAAGAGAGAGACTGGAGCTGGGGAAACAGGGAAAAACCCCAGGTACAAAGGAGAATATGGGATAATCTTGTTTCCTGCAGGTGACCAGCCTTTCAAAATTCAAGCATCTATTCTCAACCTTGTCTTTCTGAATGCTTCAGGCGCAGTAAACACCATTGTATATTTCAGGACTACAAAAACCCGGGGCCTGTCCCGAGATTCCCACAAAATGTACTGTACCTATTCTTATACAGTGCTCAGGAGATGAATCATGCTCCAACGAACAAAAGTGCTGTATCCTTGGATGTTTCTGTAAATGTGTGATCCCTGTCTTTGAGGTGAGTAGATTCCCATGTCTTACTTTCCTATTGTTGTGACCCCACAATAAGGCAACCAATAGAAGAAAAACTTTATTGAGAGCTTACAAATTCAGAGAGTGAGTCCATAACCATCATGGTGGGGGACATGGCGGCTGGCAAACAGCCATAGCGCTGCAGCTGAAAGGTCCTATCTTGACGCACAATCATGAAGCAGAGAACAAGCTAACTGGGAACAGGGTGGGACTTTGAAACCTCCAAGCCTGTCTCCAGTGACACATCTCCTCCAACAAGGCCACACCTCTTATTCTGCTGGAGGTCATTATTACAGAAACTGAAATTTAATATTCAAGTCATCAACCCACCAGGAAATAATTTCTGATGGAGGGCCACTCATATTTGTAAATCTTGTGAGAAATACCTATTCCAGAATATTTTTACTTCTGCCTATAATTGTACATGTTCTCATTTGCATTCTTTCTCCAGTGGCTGTGCAGAATACCCCACAGCCTGTATTATAAGGTGTGTGCATCTCATGAATACAATCCTGATCTAATTTGCATCCTTATCTGTGGATTTTTTAAGAAGGTGGCTCATTCTTAACTCTATTGTCCAGTTGATATTAATAATGTTAGTTCATGTGGGGGTTTGATAAATAAATGCAAAAAGATGCTACCCAGGCCAGGAATTATGGATAACATCGTGTGTGAGAGAATTAGCAGGGGAACATCAAGAGTAAAGGTGCAGACAGAATGAGAGATAGAATGAGATGCAAACAAAGTACCAAAGAAACATCATGGGAGAAACTTAAGGAAGAATTCCATATGAGGGAATGAAGAGTGAAACCATCAAGCATGGGCTTGCTCCTTTTTCCTTATCCCCTCAGATAAAAAAAATTATTTTATGCCAACTCCATTGGATTCTATTCATAGCCCTGTGCTGCTAGAGATTGGCCCACCAGATATCAGTTCCAGTCCTTCCCAAAATGCCCCAACTACTGGGAACCAAGTATGAAAATATATAAGTCATTAGGGTCATTGTCCTTCAGATCACCACATCACGTCAAGGTATGTCCAACGGAGTAAATAAGTGTCCATTGGAATTAACCTGGACACTCTCATGTTGCTCTGCCCACTGGCTGCACACACAAGAGTATGGATGTATCCAACAGAGAGGAGCTGGAAGTACAGGGCACCAGGACACTGGATTACATAATCTGTGGCCCTCTCCTCTCCAAAGACATTCCCGTAATGAGTAAAGTGACACAAGTCACTGTGACTTAGTTCCACATGGCCATAGACTGGGATGTCTCACTCTTCTTCTCCTCCCCAGCCTAAGAGGTCTGACTCTCCCAGGAGATGAGGTGCTCCAGGGAGGGAGAAGGATAATGAAGTGAGTGGGAACATTCATTCATTTGAACACCTTACACATCAGGCAGGTCTGTACTGGAACGAGAGAAAAGGGCAAATGTACCTAGACTAGACAAACAGGCCTGTGTGTCAGAGGAGTTCTACCCCAGTCTACTAAGTTCTGTTAAAGGTTATTAGCTTTGCTGGGGCGGGAGGGTAGATGATAGAGTGGAGATCAACTAGGAAAAAACTCAATTGAGGATACATAAAACCCATCAAGGAAGGAAGGTATGTTAAGAGAAACCTTTTCCTTTGAGAGAATGCCTTCCCACCAGCATGCACAGGACTTCCCCCCAACAAAGGTAAGTTCAGATGGTTGAAGATGTGCCATCCCTCTTTGTGACTTGGAAAAATAGTTGCATGGATTAGCTGCATTATTGAGCTGTGGGGGTGAACAGACAAGGGACACTACAACATGCAGTTACATCCAAAAAACAATGAGGTGACTACCATGGACTGAGGGCTTAACATCTGAACCCTTCTAAACAGATGAATATCATGATGTCATTTGTATTGTAGACAACTGACAGCCCTTTGGTATATGGATTCCACAATTATCAGGATGACTGATGGCCATCTCAGAAGATTTTTTCTGAATCCAAGGAGCCCGTGACTGATACTCCCTAGTCCTACAACTGCATCCTTAGAAGATGAAAACCTGTCATGTGGTGACTGCTTCATAGTGTCTCTGTGTCCAAAATAAATGATTCTTACCATTGTCTTGCTGAAGAGTTTTTCCCATTTGTGTATCTTATTGACTATTCTGATCAGCAGAGCCATCCCTGTAGCTTCCAAAGAGTCCCATGAATTCTAAGTCCCCAGAATCACTACAGACTGGGGACAAGTTGCTCCTAAACAATCCCTCTTCCCATACTTGTTTGTTTCTCCAAACATGGCTGAGGCCATAACAATAGTTTCTGGTGCATCCTGTGAATACAGTTCTGCTCACACAAACAAAATGAACCGAGAAAGCCCCACAGAGCAAGGCCTGCTGGAGCTACATTTACTCGGTTATGATGCAGAAGGAGCAGGAAGAGGAATTCCCCACTCTGAGGCAATACAACATCCTGCAGGACTAGAAATCTATCTCCAGAAGCCCACCCATGACCTCTGTAATGTAGGCTCTTAGCATGAGTTAAGAGGCTGGAGATCTGGTTAGGGGATAAATAGCACATTCTACTCTTCCAGAGGATCTGAATTCAGTTCCTAGATCCATAGCAGATGGGTGACAACTTCCTACAATATTAGGTAAAAATTTTGGGTAACTGTCTAGGCAGCAAGATGTCTCTGTCAATTCCAGAGTTTATATATTACCCTTCTGAGGTCTTTGATGGAGTTGAAGACAGTTATGGTTATGGTCTTCTTTAGTTATAATGAAAAATAAGTTACATATAAAACTTTACACTGACAAAAATAGGATGGATGATGGGATATTTTCCTTAAATTTTGAAAAATGTTAATGAACTAAATATTGTTAACTATAGTTCTTGCTTCATAACTGTTTTATTATACAGAATTTTAACTTGGTAAAGTTAAAACCTTGCTTTTTATTTAGATACAAAAGAAGAGATGATAGGGGTGTACGGTTTGCTGTGAACACATGTTTCTCTTATTGGTTGATGAATAAATGCTGATTGGTCAAGTAGCCAGGTAGGAAATATAGGCTATCAGATTAGGAGAATTCTAGGAAGAGGAAGGCAGAGAGGAGGTATCAGGGAGATGCCATGTAATTATAAGGAAGATAGGATGCCTGGGTATTCTCCAGTAAGCAAAGAAAACATGGACATACATAGAGTAATAGACTAATTAAGAGAGAACTAACCAATAAGAAGCCTGAGCCATTGGTCAAACACTTTTAATAATTAATAGAAGCCTTCGTGTATTTATTTTTGTCCAAACAGCTGTGGGACCAGACTGGGAGAGAATCCTCTGTCTACAATCAATGGCAACAGGATACTGGGTTAGAAGATCTGTGGCCTTCTGCTCTGCAAAGACAAAGTGACAATAATGACACAAGTCACTATAACTTAGGTCCATATGGTCATAAACTTGGATAACTCACTCTTCCCCCTCCAAAACCTAAGAGGTTTGATTCTCCCATAAGAGCAGGTGTTCTGAAAAGGGAGAGAAATAAGGAAGTGAATGGGAAGACTCATTTATTTGAATACCTTATACATCAGGCAGGCCTGTACTCGAATGAGAGTAAAATATATTGACAGACACAAGCTTGTGTGTAAGCATGAGCTCTGTACCAGTGTCCACTAACTTCTAATAAAGGTGACTAGCTTTGCCTGGGACAGATGTCAGAGTGGAAATCAAGGAGGAGAAAGTTTAAGTTAGAAACACCGGACAAGGAAGGTAAGTTCAGATGGTGGGAGATGTGCCAGATGGGGAAATGATTGCCCTGGATACCTGTGGTGTCTGGGGATGGGGACACTAAACAAGACCACAACCAAACAGCAATGAGATGCACAGAATAGAGTGAGGGCAGAACATATGGACCTTTCTCAACAGGTGAAAATCATGATGTAATTTGTATTGTAGAAAGCTGGAAGTCCTTTGGAAGATGGTTTCCATACTCATCAGGATTACTGGTGACCAGCCACAGAAGACTTCTTCTGAATCCACAGAGCCCTGCCTGCTACTCCCTAGCCCTTGAATTGCATCCTTAGAAGATGAAAACCTATAATGTGGTGACTGCTTCCTAGTGGCTTTGTGTCCAAAATAAATTATCCTTAGCCTCCTCTTGATGAAGAGTTCTTCCCATTTGTGCATCCTACTGGCTATTCTCATTAGCAGACTATACCTGTGGCATCCAGAGAGGCCAATGAAGACAGATATTCCAGGATCCCACAAAATTGGAGACAAGTTACAACTTGTTCCTAAATAATCCCTTTTCCCATGCCATGTCTGTTCCTCCAAACAAGGCAAAGTACATAATGATATTTTCTGGTGCTTTCTGTTACCATAAGTCTGGTCAGGTAAACAAAATGAACTGAGCACATCCCCCAGAGCCGGCTGGATGGAGTTGCATTTACTGGGTCATGAGACAGGAGGAGCAGGAAGGCATCAGGGAATTCCCTCATCTAAGTCAATACAACATCCTGCAGGACTGGATCTATAACTCCAGGAGCCCACACATGACCTCTGACGTGTGGGTTCTGCTTGGCGTGAGTAAAATACTGGAGAGCTGCTTCAGTGGTTAATAGCTCATTCTGCTCTTCTAGAATATCTGAGTTCAGTTCCCACCATCCATAACAGGTGTATCACAACTTCCTATATACTGCTGATTCAGGGGATCTGTCACCTCTGATCCCTCAGAATCTGATCTCATGTGATCATATACCCCACCCCAACATAGTACACATAATTATGAAACATTTTTTAATCAATATGAAGCATGGACTAGAAGCACTACTTCCTCTCTACATTAGGAGTTAGAACTTAATTGAAATACCTCTAGGAGTCTGGGCCCATCCCTATCCATCCAGCTCAGCACTGGTGTCTGGGAAGGGCTTCTGTTTCTTCTCTGGCCTTAGCTGGATGGGGGACAAGTCATGTCCAGATTTGATTGCCTGGTTCCCTCAGCATTGCTGGGTTTTTGGAGATCACTGCAAAGGATCAGTGATGGAAAGGTAAACACTTCCTTTAGGGAAAAGTATCCAAACGGGAAACATTTAGTCTCTCTTATCTGTCCTAGATCCCCTGATTTTTGTCTGCCAATGTTTGGTGCCCCATGTCTGTCTCTATCACAGCATTGCACCTGCAGCTCACGTGGCTCACCTTATAACATAATGTCCTGTGTCTCCTAGGTAGCTCACTCATCTGCCTGTCTTCTTGCTCACACACCTGGACCTGCCATCCATCTGTCCTCCAGTTCCTTCATCCTGGTCCTGCTCTTTGCTTCTGCAGCTGAACTCAACTCCACAGCTTTGCTTTCATGCAGGTGACTGGAAGTGGCCTGACCTGCAGTCACCATAGTTCCTCTGCTCCTCAGGAATTCTAAAGCCTATTGACTTCTGCAGTGGCCTCTTAACCCTTTACAGCAATTCTGTAACACATACACACATGTATGTATGTATGTGTATGCAGATACAGAAATTTATTTAATGTGTGTTGTATAATAAGTGATTTGAGAGTTAATATCATTAGTTAAGTTTGGAACAAGATGTGTTTTGTTTGCCTTATCCATGGCTACCATGGAAAGCAGAACTGCCTGGCCAGTTGCTTCCATGAACACTGATGTACCTTAAGAGTCCTGGTGGTTTCACGTACTTCTTATACCAGCACTGGGAATGCAAAGGCAGATGGATTAGAGTTTGAGGCCAACCTGTTCTGCAGAGCAAGTTCCAGCACAGTCAGTGTCACACAGATAAACTCTGTCACAAAAACAAAAAGCAAAACCAACCAACGAAATAGAATACAACAAAACCACTGTAGTGTCTTATGGATTTATGGTTATACCATAAATTTTTACATTATAAGCAAATACACATATATTTGCCTTTGTTTCTGATATAGCATGCATGCAATAGAGGGTGGAAAGTTACAGGCACCCAGGCATGTCTCCTCAATCTGAATGAAGGACTGGAAACACATGGAGCAAAGCATGTGTCCAAACAAAACCCCCTCAATCCATGAGAAGTAATTCTGTAAATATTAGATAACTCCAAAGCCCACCACCTGATAACTGGGGTATTCCCACAGCTGCTGATATTCAACCACTACAATGGTGTCTATAAATGGAACAGGAAAAGAGGCAGATTCTGTACTAGGGGACTGGGGACAATGCATGCTCTCCTGGTTCCCATCCCTCCTCTACACACCTGTGCAGCCTTGTTTCTAAAGGCCTGACTTATAGAAAAGCGTTGGTCTATGGAAAACAACCATCATAGGGGAGCCTGTCTCTGGAGGCAGATGTTTCTGTACTGTCTATCCAGGTCCATAGAGCCACCCAGAGACTCCTTATCAATTATGAAAACTTGACCGATACCTTCAGCCTCTTTCTAATAAGTATCTATAACTTAAATTAACCCATATTGTTTAATCTGTACTCTTTCACAGGTTGTCGTTATCTTTATATGTAAAGCCCTTGCTGCTTAGAGTCGCTGGCATCTCCTCAGGACTCTGCCCTTTTCTTGCTAGCATGCTCTGTGCCTAGAAATCTTTCCCAGCTATTGACAATTCAACCTTTTTATTTATTTAAATTAGAAAGAAGCTTGTTTCACATGTCAATCCCAGCTACCTCTCCCTCCCCTCTTCCCCTGCCCCCCACCCAATCCTTACTCCACTCCCCAGGGATGGTGAGGTCCTCCATGGGAGACATCCAGAGTCTGTCATTTCATCCTGGGCCGGGCCAAGACCTCCCCAATGAGTCCAGAATGAGAGAGCATCCCTCCATGTGGAATGGGCTCCCAAAATCCCCATTCAGCTCTTTATTAAACCAATCAGAAGGTGCTTTGGCAAAGACACATCTTCACAGTGTACAAAAAAATTATTCCACAACACCTCCTGGTTTTTTATCTTTTTAAAATTAAATTAGAAACAAGTTTGCTTTACATGTCAATCCCAGCTCCCTCTCCCTCCCCCTCCTTCCCCATTCCCCAACCCACACAAACCCCCCAACCAATCCCCACTCAGCTCCCCAGGGAGGGTGAGGCCCTCAATGGAGGATCTCCAGAGTCTGTCATTTCATCCAGGGCAGAACCTAGGCCCTACCCCATGTGGCAAGGCTGAGAGAGCATCCTTCCATGTGCAATGATGGGCTCCCAAACTCCATTTGTATGCCAGACATAAATACTGATCTACTACTCAAGGCACCATAGGTTGCTGAGGCCTCCTTGCTGACATCCAGATTCAGGGAGTCTGGATCAGTCTCATGCTGGCTTCTAAGCTATCAGTCTGGCTCCAAGAGCTTCCCCTTATTCAGGTCAGCTGTCTCTGTGGGATTCACGAGCCCAGTCTTGACCCATTTGCTCATCACTCTTCCCTGTCTGCAACTGGGTTCCAGGAGTTCTGTTCACTGTTTAGCTGTAGGTGTCCGCTTCTGCTTCCATCAGCTACTGGATGAAGGCTCTAGGATGGCATACAATTTTGTGGAGTACAGGTTTTCAAAGTATGACATGATGATTCTCTGGACTTCCCCAGTATCTGTTGTTACTTTCCCCTTTTCTTTTCTGATTTTCTTAATTTACAAGTTCTCTCTCTGCCTTTTGATTAGGTTGGATAGAGGTTTGTCTATCTTGTTGATTTTCTTAAAGAGCCAACTCTTTGCTTCATTGCTTTCTTTGTTTCTACTTTATTGCTTTCAGCTCTCAATTTGATTATTTCCTGGCATCTACTCCTCCTGGATGAGTTTGCTTCTTTTTGTTCTAGAGCTTTCAGGTGTTCTGTTAATTCTCCAGTGTGGCTACTCTTCAGTTACTTCATGTGGGCACTTAGTGCTATGAACTTTCCTCTTAGACATGCTTTCAGAGTGTCCCATAGGTTTGGGTATGTTGTGCCTTCATTTTCATTGTATTCTAGGTAGTCTTTGATTTCTTTATTTATTTTTTCCTTTACCCAGGAGTGATGTAATTGAGCATTGTTCAATTTCCATGAGTTTGTGTGGTTTCTGCAATTTGTCTTGTTGTTGAAATCTAATTTTAAGCCATGGTGGTCTGATAAGATACAAGGGTTACTCCAATGTTTTGTGTCTGTTGAGGTTTGCTTTATTGCCAAGTATGTGGTCGATTTTAGAGAAGGTACCATGTGGTGCTGAGAAGAACGTATATTCTTTTTTGTTTGGATGGAATGGTCTATAGATGTCTGTTAAACTCAATTGGATCATTACTTTTGTTAGTTCCTTTGGGGTGTTGAAGTCTCCCACTATGTGTGGGGTTTAATGTGTGATTTGAGTTTTAGTAATGTTTCTTTTATGAACATGGGTGCCTTTGTATTTGGGGCATAAATGTTTAGAATTGAGACTTAATCCAAATGGATTTTT